GTACGCACCTTAAGAGATATATCATTAACACAAACATAATTACATTATGTTGTAGTCGTTGTAGTTTAGGAGCTGAACTTAAGAGGGCGTAAGAGGGCGAGTATTGAATTTATCTGGTGCACAATTACCACAACAAATGATCACAAGGGGAGCCTCATAGCCTAGCGGTCTTATTAAGTGGCAGCTAGGTGAGGGGTACCGGGTTCGATTCCCAGTTCGAGGGCAAGTTTTAATTTAATTTAAATTTGTTCTCGGCCTTTGGGAGTGCCTAAACTGTACATGGAGGACATGATCGAATTTCTAAGGCAAAAAGCACGAATTATAAAAATCTCATACTTGACGCTGGCTAATGCACAAACCGTGCCAGAGCCATTAAAAAAAAAAAAATATCACAAATTTGTGAAGTATGAACTAAGAATAGTATGTATTTGTTTCTCTTCCCTTAATACAAAATGAATACTGATGCATCCCAAACTTGTGAATGGTTGGTTTGTCATTCTAAAAGATACTCAGGAAGACCATACTTCTTTAATACGTTGACAGGAGACGCCGTGTGGAATTTGCCTGAACAAACTGTAAGTCTTTATTCTATCTCTCGAAGCCATTTCTATCAGGACAACAATCACTTAGTAGATCTGGAGCTGTCTTTATACGGTTAACAATATGCCTAGTTTAAACAAATTGCTCTACGAAATGTTTGGATAGTACCTTTTAAAAGTTACGTTGTCAATGCAATTCTAAAACACCTACCCTCAAATTCCGAAATAAAATTGTTTAAGTTTAATAATCTGTCTTATTAAACACTAATTTAATTTACAGTATATTTAGTAGAACAAGTTTACTAGCTTAAATTAGTGTAATTTAAAACTATCTTGTTTTCAATTAAGTTTCTTTATCAAATTTTTTTTTACAGGTAGCGTTTATCAAAGCAAGAGCAAATCAAAGCAAACCTATAATAAATACAGGATATCCAGAGCCTAATGAAGTCTTTAACGATACTATATCCACTTCCGTTAACAATAATGCAGTTTTTAACCAGCCAACAGAAAAAGTGTATAATACATTCTGTAGACAAAGCCCTTCTAACATAAATTTTTCACATTGTATTCCCCAGAATACACATAATAGCAATACTTTGGGTGTGCCATTATTAAGTGTCCGTCCAAATGCAATAAATTGGAATGAATCTTCTAACAACCCAGAGTGCTACTTAAATGCTAACCATAGCAATTGGCAACCTCATCAGGTTCATGCATCAACACCTATATCATCTAAAACAAAAAAAGAAGAATTCTTTACATTGCAAACTAAAAGTAAAGTTACAGTGCCAAAACAATGTGATATGAATGATCAAATGAATTTTCAAAACAATTCCAATAATATTACTTCAGGTCATGTAACTGGTTAGTACACTTACACTTAAATATAATATAAAAAGGTCTTTAAACACCTGCCCACTGAATAAAAATTGATAATCTTTATTTATCATTAGATACGGTCTATATTATACCCATATTTCAATTACTACTGAACTAAGAAGGATTATCTCTTAATGACTTAGTTTCTAGGAAATTTTTGGACAAACATATAAACATAAATGCACTTATGTAATAAAACACATGTCCTTTATTTATTATTAGATACCTATACTATACCCATATTTCAAGTAATTCTCAAGCGAGAAAGATCATTTCTTAATCAAGAAATTTCCTAGAACTCTTTCTGGACAAACAAATAAACGTACATGCACTTATGAAATTAAGCTGGTGTGCTTGGAAGCATAAATAGATTATCATACTCATATTATCCAATTGCAATATCACATAACTTAAACCTTCTTTTTGAAGTAGGTTAAAAGTAGTATTAATTGGTGAGCATAATGTTTGAAATATAATTTTCAGCATCACTTGAAGGTGATCATGATATGAAAATAAGCAAAGACGTTGTTGAAGATGACTTACATGACATGCTGGTATGAAATACATCTCTTGCCTTTATTTGGTTTCATTGAAGATCTCTGTTGCTTCTACCAGTTTTAGTAGTTAAACAATTTTATTGATAACATATTATTATAATTTTTGTTGATTGTGTATTTGTTTAAGTGTTAACTAAATATTATATTTATTGTTGCAATTTTTTGTTAACATTATCTGAAGTTAGGTTAATAAGGTAATAATGTTGCTTGTGCTTAATTAGGGTGGCTTTAATCTTAATGTTTTTCTTATATATTTTAAGAAATTGCATAATATCATCTCCTGTGGGCTTTTGTAACAAAAAGTCAAATTTGGTTTTGGTTAGAATTCAGTAGAGGTTAAATCTGATCAGAAAGTAGTATAAAATTATTCCTTTTAAAATTGATATATTATTGCAGGATTTTTCAATTTATCTTTGTGTGTGACCTTAACTTGAACATTTTTTTTTTCAGGAAACTAATAATTTTAATATCACAGCTTTGCAAACATTGTTTAAGATTGACGTAAGAACCAAAGTTTGGTTTCTTGTGCTTGATGAGGATGTGTTTTTAAAGAAATTAAACTTTATAAAGGAAATTCGAAATGCAGGTATAAAAATATTAGTCTAAAAACTCTAACAAGTGAATGTTACAATAGATATAATAATCAGCATGAAATTAGGTACTTCTAGTATAATTGTACTAGAAAAGCCATACCGTCTAGGTTTTAGAACCTAGAAGTGCCTTTAATGGAAAAATAGAAAATGTAATACAAAATAAATACAAATTATATTAAATGTGTAGACAGTAAAAATATGGCTACAACAAGGACATAACTAAGTAGTACTTTGAAAGTCTTAATATATATATAAATTACGTGTCACGTTGTTTGTCCGCTATGGACTCCTAAACTACTGAACCGATTTCAATCAAATTTGCACACCGTGTGCGGTTTGATCCAACTTACAAGATAGGATAGCTTATATCTCAATTTATACCTGCAATATTATTTTATTGCAAATTATTTGTTTATTATTTGATAGTCACAATTCTAACAGATGGCGCTGTGTTGAAAGTACCAACGTTTCACATAAGCTACAATTTAATGACATAACCACCAAAAAAAGCATGGTGGTCCCCATGACTGGTGATCTCCTACCGTTTCCCTTGAATAGTTTACTACTATGTAATATAACAAAAACCTTAGCCACAGCAACGCTTGGCCGGTCTGCTAGTATCTTATATGATTTAGTTCTATTTACATATATAAATTATAAAAAATAAATCAGTGGCGCGACAACCTCTTTAGGTCTTGGCCTCAGATTTCTGAACCTGTTTCATGATCATTTTTTAAATCTAATAGGAAAGTAGGTGATCAGCCTCCAGTGCCTGACACACGCCGTCGACTTTTTGGGTCTAAGACATGTCGATTTCCTCACGATGTTTTCCTTCACCGTTCGAGTAAATGTTAAATGCGCACATAAAAAGAAAGTCCATTGGTGCACAACCGAGGATCGAACCTAAGACCTCAGGTATGAGAGTCGCACGCTGAAGCCACTAGGCCAACACTGCTCATATATAAATTATACCTCATTATATATTTATATTATAAAGATTTAAAGTTCGCGAGGCTGTACAGGGATTACCTCTGTATCTACTGAATCGATTTTGAAAACAAATTTTCCTATAGAATGTCACATTATTTGTGAGTGTTAAAATAACCTGAAAACAAAAAACTTGCAAAGTAAGTCCAGGGCCGGATTTAAAGGTCTGGAGTTCTCGGAGCAACAAAGGAGGAGGAGGCTCCCTGGCTCTAAATTATTTTCCAAATAAAATTTCAGTCGAGTTTTTCAATCAATAATTTATTGTAAAACCAAGTAGATTCTTTTAGTAATTAACAAACATAAATCTTTGTACTGGGCACAAATTCTATTTATGGGGGCGTTACGAGAAAAGTTATTTGTATTAATCGTGAAAAGATTTAGTACGTCTTGAAATCTCCTCAGAATATCCTCATGTATGTGTAACATCAGCTGCCCTTTTGATTATGCCACTTGCCGCGATATCTTGCATGCCTAAAAGGGACCAAATTAAATAGCTTTATAGATACTTAATGTAGAGAATATTGTCTTGCATACATTTCCTTACATCAAAGGTGCACCAAAGGAAAATAAAATTAGATATAAGTTAAACATGTTGTTGCACAATATGTTAACTACTAACAATATACAATTAAATTGTGACTTAGGTACACTACCTAATTTAATGGACATAAATTGTATATTTAAAAATAAGTATGTATTGACAAAGGATAGGTTCCGCCTACCTAATTATTATTTACAACAGATAGCTACTATGCTATCTTACTTTTTATTTACAACTAAAGCTAAACATTTAGCTTTTCAGACAACTGCTTCTATTGAGCAGCTAGCTTTTCAGACAACTGCTTCTATTGAGCAGCTAGCTTTTCAGACAACTGCTTCTATTGAGCAGCTAGCTTTTCAGACAACTGCTTCTATTGAGCAGCTAGCTTTTCAGACAACTGCTTCTATTGAGCAGCTAGCTTTTCAGACAATCTGTTTCTAGAGCAGCTATTTTTATTGAGCAGCTGGCTTTTCTTTTTTTTCAGACAACTGCCTTCTATTGAGCAGCTAGCTTTTAAGAAAACTGTTTTTTTTTTGCGGGTTTTTTTTTTTTTTTTTTTTTTTTTTTTTTTTTTTTTTTTTTTTTTTTTTTTTTTTTTTTGTTTTTTGTTTTTTGGTTTTTTTTCTTTTGAGAGCTAGCTTCAGACAACTGCTTCTATTGAGCAGCTAGCTTTTCAGACAACTGCTTCTATTGAGCAGCTAGCTTTTCAGACAACTGCTTCTATTGAGCAGCTTAGCTTAAGTGAATGTAGTGATACTTGCAGTAGCACTTCATTAAGTATAAATAATTTAAATTAGATAGTGTGACAATAGAGGCAAACTCTAGCAATAATTTAGTACAACTCAGCTCAACACAAACATGTTATATTACTAACAACAACTGTTTAAACTTGATGCATCAAAACATGCAAGGTATGTTGGGCAAAGAATTAGAATTGGAGTTGTTTTTAAAATCAAGTAAAATTGATGTCCTATGCATTACCGAACATTGGCTTAGAGAATGCCAAATCATCTTTAACTTTGATCAGCACCAAGTTGCAAGTTCGTTTTGCAGATTGTCGGCGATTCATGGGGGCTCTTTGATTATTGTTAATAAAAACTTAAAGTATAAAGAGCGTAATGACATCGTGTGTCTGTCTGTAGAACACTCTTTGGAAGTAGCCTGTATAGAGATTGAGAATTGCATTATTTTAAGTGTTTACAGACCACCAAGTGCATCTTACGATTTTTTTGAAGAAAAGTTGGAGGAAATTTTGTGTAAAGTTAGTTTTAAGAACAATAAGTATATTATTGTATGTGGTGACTTCAATATAAATTTATTAGAAAATACCTCCATTAGTAAAAAATTCAATCTGTTATTAAAATCTTACAATCTTGTTAACTTGTTTCTTGAGCCCACTAGAATTACAAGCTCCACTGCCACATGTATAGATAATGTATTTACAGATGCAGAGGCAATGCAAACCTCAATTACAACTGATCTTAGCTCAGATCATTGTGGACAGTTAGTGGCGCTAAAATGTAAAGTGGTAAAACAAGTAAATAAGAGCAGTGTGTTTGTTCCAGTGAATAAAAAGCGAATGGTGAGATTTAGACATAATATAGGTAAACGCCTACCTTTATTACCGGTAGGTACTACCGTTGATGAACAATACAACAATCTAAGTGATTGTATTAATAAAGAGTTCAACACCATCTTTACCCCAAAGAAAGTCTCTCATTCGCAGTGTAAATCGTTTAGTGATTGGGCGACAGCGGGAATTTATAAAAGTAGACAACGGTTGTATGACCTTTACGCTGAAAAGTCATACAATCATAATGAAGAATTTATTCTTTATGTTCGAAATTATTTAAGAAAGTTTGTTACGCGGCCAAGTCCTTAAATATCAAAAACAAGATTAAAAATAGTACCAATAAAACTAAAATGACTTGGAAGATAATTGATAGTGAAACTGGAAGAGTCAGGGATCGCAATCAAGACATCGAACTATGTGTCGATAACACTATAATCAAATCTAACGAAGAGATAGCGATTGTTTTTGATAAGTACTTTTCTGACATTCCAATTTCGACTACTAAGTCTCTTCAATCATCTCCCGCCCTCGCCGAATCGCTGCTCAAAGATAATGTAAACGAGTGCAAGGTCAGTTTTTCATTCCGACCCATTGGTGCCGACGATATAGTGAGGATATTTAGAACCATAGATATTAAGAACACTACCGATCTTTGGGGTATTTCTGTAAAAATAATTAGTAGCATAATTGATGTAATTGCTCCCCATCTAGCTATAATTTTCAACAATTGTATTAAAAGTGGCGAGTTTCCCGATCTAATGAAACATAGTAAAGTTATTCCTTTATTTAAAGCAGGTAGTATGTCCGACCCCAGTAACTTTAGACCAATTTCCGTACTACCTACTTGTAGTAAAATATTTGAAAAAATTATATTAAATCAACTGGTAAGTCATTTTAACGTAAACAAATTATTACATAATAATCAGTTCGGTTTTACCAAGGGTCGCTCGACAGCCGATGCCGGTGTTGAGTTATATAGATATATAGTTAAGGCTTGGGAGGAGTCGCATGACGCTTTAGGTGTTTTCTGCGACTTATCCAAAGCATTTGATTGTGTCCAACACGATACCTTAATCGGGAAACTCCGCCACTATGGCATCAAGAATACCGCACTGAATCTTCTGACTTCCTATTTACACGGAAGAACTCAGAAGGTTGAAGTGAATGGTAAGAGGTCCTCTGGGTCGGCAGTAGATATGGGGGTACCACAGGGCTCAATTCTTGGCCCTTTCCTCTTTCTTGTTTATATAAATGATCTACCTTTCATGGTAGAGAGAAAACATCAGATAGTTTTGTTTGCTGATGACACGTCCTTGATTTTTAAAATCAAACGACAAATAACAAATTTTGACGATGTGAACAATGCTCTGTCTTCGATTGTCCATTGGTTTAGTATGAATAACCTTCTACTTAATGCAAAAAAGACAAAATGCATTAAATTTTGTGCAAAAAATGCAAGGGTTATGGATACTAGACCAATTATAAACGGTGAGGAATTGAATCTGGATGATACAACTGTATTTCTCGGTATCACCATGGATTCAAAACTTCAGTGGTCCCCTCATATTAACGGATTGGCGAAGAGACTTAGTTCTGCAGCCTACGCGGTTAAAAAAATTCGCTCACTAACTGATGTCGATACAGCTAGACTTGTTTATTTTAGTTACTTTCATAGCTTAATGACTTATGGCTTATTATTATGGGGTCATGCTGCTGATGTCGAAACTATTTTCATCCTGCAGAAGAGGGCTATTCGTGCAATCTATAATTTAAAATGTAGGGAATCTCTTAGAGATAAATTCAAGGAAATTAATATACTTACCTTTCCCTCGCAATATATTTATGAAAATATTATGTATGTATACAAAAATAGTGATAAGTTTACTAGAATAGAACATACGCACAATGTTAATACACGGAACAAACGCAGGCTGCAATTTCCCCGTACTAGACTATCTAAAGTTAGTAATTCTTTTTTGGGGAAAGGGATACTCTTCTTTAATAAAATCCCAGAGGCTCTTTTATCACTGCCTTTCAATAAATTTAAGAAATGTATTAAAGAAAAGCTGTGTAAAAAGGCTTACTATAAAGTCAACGATTATCTAGTTGATAAAAGGGCCTGGGACTAGTGCTAGACAGGCTACTTCTAATTAATTTGCGATATTTGTTTTAAATAAGTGTTGTTTGATGATTTGCTGTTTTAAAAGAGTACCGAGAGTTTTTACGCCGGCTTTTTCTCTCGGCCTACACCCTCTGTCTTCTTTGCCGATGAGTAGGGATGCCTTCAAATTTAATGACGTGGAATAAGTGATACATGTATCTTATGTTCCATAATAAACATATTTTATTTTTTTTTATTTTTTATTCATATCATTATACATATATAATTACAGATAATAGGTGTCGTTTGGTCGTCCCGGAATGTGTTTTGAATCGTATTCAAAAGGGAACAACATCTGTTAACAAGATACATATGAAGAGAGCATTACAAGCAGCCATATTTATTTCTAATGTCTTAACGGAAAACTGTGCCATTGTTGGTAAGTGATTTTATTAATTACCCCCGCGAACTTTGTTTCGCCTTAATATGATTTTATTACTATGGCTACCTTTTTATAAGCTAAATAACAACATAAGGAACACTTTGATACACCATACACACTGTTCGCTTTTCCGGAAGAAAATCCAACTTTTCTCTACATAAAAACCTTCCTCAAAGTTAATATAAAATAAATTTAAGAATAAATCAAAAAGAAAATACTCTAGCTGTCTTTGACTTTTGTGCTTAGCAACATATTTTGCGATTCATTTTTTTTATATCGATTTTACGGTAAAAAGTATGATCTTGTCTGGTTGAATTGAGTACAGCATATCGTGTACAATGTACTGTACATGCTAATACACTTTTCCTACATGGACTCACTATAACAGCACTACGCGCTATAACTAGGGTTACCACCTTTTTTTGCAATAAAGAATAAAGAAATCACATGCGAAATAAAGTATTTTCGTGTTCTTTATTGTTCTCATATAGTATAGAGTACAATAACTTGAAATAACGTACAATACTTTATTATAAAGCACGAATGGCAACCCTAGCCTATACCACACTTTCACTAATAAGAAAACTTGGGTTCACCTTTGCATTCTAACAAGAGGACCTGCGACTAATTATCTTACAATTCTAACATTATTCTGTTTTCTCCCGAGGGTTTAGGGATCTATACGTTACAGAAACGTTATACATTTTTTTAATTTTTTTATTTATAAACACGTTGCTACACTCAAACATATGCTCTTAAATATATATAATTATGTTATTACAATAATATTTATAGAAAAAAATTTAACTATCTAATCTTATATACAAATTTTGTTTCAGATAAAGAAAATCGTCATGATGATCATACACAAAATATCGTTGCATGTTATAGAAAATACAGCCAAAAGGACTACAAAGTTGTAAGTTTATTAAATTTTGTTGTGGTTCCGAGAAGGAAAATGATTTTAAATATTTTAACTGTTTTACTTTGTTCTTTCTTAGGTTTTGTTAACAGAAAATAATATCAATCAAAATATAAACGTAACAAGTCCCATATTTCGGATGGAAGAAGTTGAATATTTCATGATATATGGGGAATTAAAAGAGACGTCACCTCGAAAAGTATTTAACTCAACAATTACGGTCACAATACCAAATAATCCAAGAAAGAGTTTTTCCAGTAAAACTAAAGTAGGGATAAGAGATCCACAAATCAAAAGATATATAGAACAAGAAGAGCATAATGTATCTGATTCAAAATCAATACAGAGAGAAGAGTCAGAAATGAAAATGGAGGTGGGTAGTTTAACTGATGAGAAAAAAATAAATGGTCATTGTTCATGGAATAAATGGGACAGATCACGTTCTCTTACCAGTTTAAATCCAGGGACAATCTGCAACACACTATCAAATACCTCGTTTCATGATACAGAATATGGAGATGTTGATAAAAACGTTATGTTTGAAGTTACAAGTGAACTGATGAAAGGGAACCTAATATCCAAGTCAGAAGAGTGGATTTCGCGATTCACACAAATACTGGAAGAAGCTCTTAATCAGGTTCTACAAAAGGCAGCTTTTCAGACAACACCTCCACCTTGGACGATGTATGAGGCTTGTGAGTGTATTAAACGGGGATTTAAAAATGACGCTGATATTGTTGATGCGGCAAATAAGTTGGGGGATATTATATTTGATAATGGAGCTTTGAGAGGTGAGATTTTCTTCCAGCATTTATTTGCATAAAAAGTTAGAGTCACGGATTCACTTGGTCCTAAACAGCTTGGATCATCGTATCTTTACCTCAATTAGTTAAATAATATGTTGTTTTTTGTTTTACTAGAATGTTTAATGAAAACGTAGATTTACACTAATATTTTATTACTTTCAACGTTTTTCTAAAGAAATTTGTTATTTATGTTGAACCGTTGTTACAGGTAAAATTAACCACAACATAAATCCATCTACATTTATGAAAATCTATAGTTACGGCGTTTACCTCGTTGATGCGTTACAGGTAAAAGATTTATATTTAAATGCTCTTACACTGTTGTTTAACTAACAATATTCACCATATATTTCATTTATTTCTCACTGCCCTCATCACTCGCGTGAATTTCGTGTGATTTGGCTTTGTACCGTTATATTACAGTATTTACAGCAATGGATTATAGTAGTTTTTGAGTTTATCGTCTACAAACACGTGGCCAGGGCCTTCATTTTGTAATATAACATCGTAAAGATAGTCTTTAATTTAGTAGTGATTACTTATATACTATAATAAACTGTTTTGCAAAAAAACGGGCACCTAAGGAAGTTTATTTCGATTCGATTTCAGTTAATTAAAATTTAATTCGCGGACTGGCTGTCAATTGTGGTAATTCGTTTATTAATTTTTGGTTATTTTTTAAAAATTTATCCACACGGCTAAACATGCTCTTTTGGAATGTTTTTTTATAAGTAATTACTACTTAATATTGGGCATATAATAAATGACCGCGCGCGCGGATTTAAATTACGAATTGTAATTTAAATTCAATTGATATCTGTAAAACTCTTTAAATGACAATTCCTGAGGAATACCTGGTTTTGGTCATTTACTTAATCTTCATTATCTTGAAATTAGCCTAAAATTTCTACTGAAAATATATTTTTTTTTACGAAAATAAGCATTTTGGCGTTTATTCTCTCTCAATCAATGGTCGTGCGTCCCGAGAGTAACGTTTGTTTTTTTTTTTTGTTTTTTTTTTACATGGTAAGGATACCGGCATGTCATAGATTTAAAAACAAAAAAAAATATGTTTATTATGGACCATAAGATACATGTATCACTTATTCCACGTCATTAAATTTGAATTTGTAGGCATCCCTACTCATCGGCAAAGAAGATATGAAACACAAAAGATTGATTGACGCGCCATTGAGTTATCACTTTACATTGTTTAAACGTAATATATAACGCAATTATATTTTAGGGCGTTTTCGAAGATGACGAAAACCTACAGGCAGCTGAGAAATTATTAGCCAAGTTACTACTCGATATTGAGACGCCGGATTTCGATAACTCTTTCAATGAAATCGATGCAATAAATGAGCATAGCGATGAAGGTATATTTTTAAAAGTGACATTTTTAGTTTAAAAATATAAGGATTTTTTGTAATAAAAACAAGGCTTTTTATTAAATTTATTCTGCGCGGTACATTACATATTTAAACATAAACTATCAGTAAATAGCATTTATTTGTTACAACTACAAATCTTTTCTCTTTTTAATATTAGTTAGTGTAGATTTACATAATTCGGCGTTTTAAACATACGTCGTCGATACGTAATAAATTCGGTTTAGTTTGTTTTTCAGCTTCGCCACAAAAAACATCCCAAAATCATCCGACACCATCCAGAATCACCCGTTCAAAGGCTAGAAATATTATGACATCAGTAAGTATTAAGTAGCATTATTTATGCAAAAACTTTTCAATTTTTTTTTATTTTTATGAGATATTAAACTTTTGAAACAAATGACATCAAACATAGACAGTCAAAATTTTAATGATTGGCCCAAGCTACTCATGTTATATATTTGTTAAACTTATATAAGTACATTTTCAACAATATTTTAGGTCCAGGAACGAGCCCATCACTCTAAAGATAAACTTCTTCAGTTTTTGCCGGGAAAAGAAAACTTTTTGTCAAATTTTGAACTTAAAAATGCCGACAAGGATGAAACTAATGAACCAGAAAATACAGATAAGACAGATTGTGTTAATACTAAAACAGATGATCCACCGAAAATTATAAGAAACTTTACAAGAATCTCTAATATTGAAGATAAATTGAATCCAAATGGATCTGATGATCTAGGTAATCTAGATTTTATTTTAGATGGTGCTGAAGTGCCAGAAAAGAAAACTTACACTCATATGGATTTCATAGAACAAACTAAGGCTAAATTACGCTACGTTTTTAAATTTTGGTAAGTTTACTCATTATTGATAAGTATCTATTGAATTTTTGCCCTTAGTTTGTAGCATATAAATAAATAAAGACTATTTAAAAGTAAATATTAATAGTATGTGAATAATTTAAAAACCAATTGTATTTGTTTTTCTTTACCAACCAGTTTTATGGTCAGGTTGTCTACTGACATAGTTTTACCCATTTTCTATACCGGGCTAGCCTGCTCCTACTCTTCGGCAGATCATCTGCCCATCTTATCCACTTCCTTTTTCATTCCCTTGGATGTATTAATGTATTAGAAAATACATCTTTTGTAAATTTATCTATTTGAGTTTTTATAATCCATTTGATTATCTTGATTTTTTTATAGAGCGTAATTGTCTGTCTTTTCCATGTTAATCCATATCCATATACCAAAGGTATCTTTGTTATATAATATTCAGCGACATATATATAACAGAACGTATAAATAGACAGATGTATTTTACATAGCTTTTAACAATTGGAACGGACAATAACTATTAAGTTATATTTATCGTTTTTATAGCCAAGATACAAGACAAAGGCTGTTAAATCCAGAAAAACTCGATAAAAAGGATGTAAATTGTCAAGCCAAAAAATTGGCAGAACTTATACGTGTTTTCCGTCTTCAATTAACAGGGTAGGTATGCTTACGTTTCTTATAAGTTGTTGATTTTACGTTACCACACGCGTATTATTATTAAAATGATTTTTAATTTAAAATAATAATTCATACAGCAAATAGCAGATTGGCAAATTTAAAGTGTTTTATACGCATAAATAAAAAAAAAAAGTGTGCGTGTACTTATGTACGCGCGTAAGAAGTTATACTTCTTTGGCTTTCTTTATTTTTTTTTAATATTTAATAATTAATAATAATTATTATTATTATTTATTATTTTAATATATTATTCATTCAATTTAATAACTAGGTATGTTTCATAACCTTTTAACTAAGTAACAATAGGTCTTTGTGAAAAAGAATTGCTTAATTTCTTTGAAAAAATAATTAAAACTCCTTTATTTGTTTAAAAGGTAGCAAAGGTCATTCAAAATTTTTGGCATAGCTGCTAACTTCTCGCATATTCTATTTCTTTTTACTTGTTGGTTGCCTTAGTCCCACCTCGCTCGCGCACGCTCGGCGCCCGGCTGGTTTAAAAAGAATTCGTTAGTGGGCAACTTCATACTGATAATTTTGTGTCACGGTGCGCGCGCATCGTAAAATTTCACTCTCATCAATTTTTCATAACGCGCCTAAAGAAGTATAACTTCAAAAATACTTATAAATAAATAAACAAATAATAAAAAATGTATTCAAAGAATTGTCTTCTTTCTTTAGTATCAAAATACTTTACAGTGATCAGCTTTCTCTGACACAATTTTCTATTTTAGACTTATTGCTTTCGTGTATCCTTCTATACTTCTACACTACACACTACTAATCTTCTGCAAATCTGAAATTCAAACGCACGACTCAACAGTTTGATCCGTGTCCAAGGATAATCTCTTAATAAGATATTATTATTATGAATAATAAACTAATATATATAATAAATTGTTCTAGGATATACGAAAGAAAAAAAGATATTTATTTAAATGATCTTAACTTTAATGAGGCTGAATATAATTATTATAAGTAAGTGTTTATTAACATTATTTTTCTGTTTTATGAAAAACTTGAACCAAACATTTTTTGTTTTACTGAAAACCCAGAAATTTTAACCGCCTTTGAGCGTCAGCGCAATTTGTTTTTTATATATTTTGATTTTGGCAGAAGTAATAAGTCTAGTTAAATTTGTAGAGCTTGGCTTCAAATAATACCATTATATCAAGCACACTTAAATTTTTAAATGATAACCGGATGTTATTTTGTTTAATCTATGAGTTTTTTTCAGGGAATTTGTTAAGCACTGTTTGGATGAATGCGCAATTCTTAATACGGCCCTATCGATTATAATAACAGCAACAGGCTCAACTCTCCAATAGAAACGAGATTAGGGGTATTTGAAGGGGGAAGAGGAAAACGTTCCTGACACCTCAAATGGTACACACAATGGAGCCCCCTTCCGAAGATGATTTTTTTTAAAAGTTTTTCTTTAAAAGTGTTATTAAAAGGCAGTCACATCGAAAGAGCTAAAATTCATCTCTCCCATCTCGTATGATCACTAGCCAAAAAATGTTTTTTTTTTTTAAATTATGTTATCTTCCTACCAAAACATTTCGTGTTATTACATCAACCATCTAAACAAACAAAATGTTTGTCAACAGCACGTATATTTTTTCATTTTTAAGTAAAATATTCGCCCATTAATAAAACAAAATAAAAAAGTAACGATTATGTATCTGTAAAAAAATATGGGCATCTGTATTGAACACACTGTTAAAGAGTCAAGCTAAAATATTCTCTTAGAGATATTTCCAATGAAAAGTGTTAGCCTCACGTATAAGAGTTAGATTAAGTTAATTTAAAAATATGTTCATTTTATTTGGAAAATACTTGGGGGCTATCCAGACCGCTAAATTCGGCCCTGCCAGTGGCGCTACAACCCTCTATCGGTCTTGCCTTCACAGTTCACATTGCATAAGTTTCTTTGATGATTTATATTTCATAGACTAGTAGGTGAACAGCCATCTGTCCGGCACATGTCGAGTTTTGGATGTTTTCCTTCACCGTACGAACGAGTCTAAGATACGCATGTAGAAAGTCCATTGATGCAAGCCGGGGTCGACCTCAAGGATGAGAGTCGCACGCTGAAGCCACCTATAGTCGAATTTTTAATTAGACGTAAGACGATATCAACTGACGTTTACGGTGTTGTCAGTTTTTAATGAAATAAAAATAGTGTTGTGACAAAGTAAAAACCCCTGAATTAATGATCGGTGATGGCACTATAGTCGAATTTTTAATTAGACGATATCAACTGACGTTTACGGTGTTGTCAGTTTTTAATGAAATAAAAATAGTGTTGTGTTTGTCACATGATTTGTGAATGATTGAAAAAACTCCTGAATTAATAAAATTGCCTCGATTGCCTAGTGAATAGTTAACGTTGCGTACTGCCGATATCGGATACGGGTTCGAATTTTAGTCGTGCTTTGAACATACCAACGAGTTTAGTACTAAATACCAATTGTTTTTAACATTAAGGAAATCATTGCGAGGAAACTTGTAAGACTGTCCTATTCTCAATATATCATGTAGTTTATACTATAGATGTTTAATAATATAACAATTATAGGTTGGTAATGAAAATAATAAACATCGCTTATTACATAATTTGTTTTTATTCATCATCAGATAAAAAATCATCACTATCGCTTTCAGTGACATTAATAATAAATCTGTCTGAAACATTGTCGATCATGTCGTCGAGACCATACATTTTATCTTCTTCTTTCATTATGTGAGACACGCAGCTACGCCATTTATCAGGTGTGATTAGTTTAAGTCCTTCTTCAAAAAGTTTTTTTACTTCTGTCATTTTGAAGGTTTTATTATTTTTTGCAACATATCCTTTAGCCTGCGCCCATACCAACTCAATGGGATTAAGCTCACAGTGGTATGGGGGCAGACGTAAAACAATTATCTCATGCTGCGCTGCTATCTCGTCCACAACATACTTTTCGAAATGATCTTGTTTGTGCTGCCGTACAATGTCTATAAGAGTAGCTTTAACCATTGTTGCTTCGAATGAAATATTTTTGCTCGTTAGCCACTCTTGTATTTTAGGTTTAGTCCAAGACATTTTAGGCAGCGATTCTAGTTTCCTGGAGTGGTAGGGGGCATTATCTAGCACTACAACGGAATTTGGTTTTAGTTTTGGCAAGACTCCACTAAACCACTTCTCAAAGGAATCGGCATTCATTTCTTGATGATAGTCTTCTTTACTTTTTTTGGCTTCAAATATTAGTAAGCTGTCTTCTACGAATCCTTCTTCCCCACCTATGTGGCCGATAATTAATCGTTTGCCCTTTCCTGAAGGCTGTTTTAAGCCAGTAGTCAGGCCATCTAGGAAGGCCTGGCGAGTCGATAACACTGTCTGGTCAATCCATGCCTTCTTCTGTGCATGACCTACAAGATAATGAAAAATAACAATCAGTTAATGAAAGTACAATTTAATGTAAAGAAAACAGAAAATTGTAATTACCTTCGTTGATCCAGGTTTCATCTTGGTAATAAATATACCTTCCTTCCCTTCGATACTCTTTAATTTTGCGAAGGTATCGCTGGCGCCATAACATAATGTCCTGTCTGTCAATTAACATGCTTTTTCTTGATTTTGTGACATATTTGAAATTTAAATGTTTCATAACATTTCTTAATGTACTCCAAGAAAAATTGGGTAAGTCTGGGTCTTCATTGACAACCTTAAGAATCTGTGAAGTAATAAAAAAACGTTTTTGAGTAAGGAAGTCTACGCAATCTAATACTTTGGTTTTACAAAGATCATTATTGTGGACACAGAATATAATGCAGTCGATGGAATAAAGTTTGTTACCTTTATAATGGTGGGTGACTCATTTGCATAAAAAAAATTATGAACTTTTCGCCTTATAGCGGCCAAAGTAAAATCGTCTAATTTATCTTTGAAATTGTGTTTCGGTCCACGTTTCTCGGGAGACTTAAATTGTTCATTTTCTTTGTATTCTTTTAATACACTGTAAACTGAGGTCACGCTAATTCCCAAAATGTCAGCTGTTTTCGAAACACATTCTTTTTTTTCGGGAGCCTCAATAGGTAATAGTAAAGCAGCTTTCTCCTCAAATACGTGTTTGTAGACGTTTTGTATCATAACTTTTTCGGTAACGCTTAAAGCAATCCGTGGTCTCTTCTTTCTTGGAGACAAGCTTTGGCTTGACGTGCTTGGTTGAGGATCCATATCGTTTTTACGAAACAATATAGAAATAAAAAAACACAACAATAACCACAAACACTACGTAGTTATACAGTCACAAGACATATTTCCTAATCTTTAAACGGAAACACCCACGCGTGTTCTCACGGAATATGCTGACGGACTGTCTAGCTCCCAGTCTCGATTATTAGATATTAAGTTAGTCTTAAGCTAATCACCAATGTAACCGGTTGATTAAATATTAATTAAAAATAAAATTTTATTCTTTTTAAAAACGCTCCAGCGCGACCTCGCGTTTTGACTGGCGCAGCCGGTAGGATTTTCACATCCCGCGGGTATATAACTAAATTGAAAATACTCAAATCGATTTTCTTAGTTCTTGAAATACCGTGGACTGTCTAATAGCAGAGTGAAAATCCGCGAATTAAATAAATAAGTCAAATAGAAGAGCATTAAAATAATATCCGGTGCAGTGTGTGATTAGTGACTCAGGAAGAATGGAATTGGGCTGGCGGTGAGTAAACCTTTTCACTTCCCGCTAAAAATTTCATTTTATTCCACATATTATATATTATTACATTATCTGATTTTGTTTCGTACCAAATCTACGAATAAAATTGTACTCAGAGTGTAATTAGATTAGGAACTGTAGTTTTAAAATTATATTGCACAAGAATAGGCAATATAATATAGATTAAATATATAGATAGATAAAACAAAATTATATTGCACAAGAATAGGCAATATAATATAGGTTAAATATAGAGATAGATAAGAAATTATATTATTAATTAGTACGGATTTATTGCAAATTCAAAATTATATAAGTAATTTAAAGAAGTGTAAGTGATTATATTGTATTTTTATATATAAAAATTAAAGAATAAAAATGTCAATGGAAACATTTAAATTTGTACCAAGGGAGGTTTTGTCCTTGATTCCCAAATATGATGGGACAGAAAACTTACTAAATTTATTTATTGCAAAAGTGAATATGTGATAAAAGAATTTAGAGTCGAAGGTAATGCCGCCCAAAATTTATACTTATTTCATGCAATAACTAGTCGCTTAGTGGGTAAAGCGGCAACGCTATTAAGTGAAAATCAAAATATTACATCATGGGATCATTTTAAAGATATATTGACTCAACATTTCGGCGACCCGCGTTCAGAAGAATGTATAGCAATAGAATTAGAATCATTAAAAATTAAATCTGGAGAATCATATATAGAGTTCTGTCAAAGAATACAAAGTGTTAAAAGTTCCCTAACCTCAAAGGTTAATAGGTTAACCGATGAGAGTATTAAAGCAGCCAAATTAATCATTTATAATAATACGGCTCTTAATGTATTCCTTTATAATTTATCTGAAGATCTTTTACGTATCGTTCGTCTAAAGGGCTGTACTAATTTAGAGAGTGCATTAAGTGTTGTTACTGAAGAGGTTAATTTTCATTATCAATATTCTATTAAAAATAAATTGTGGAAGAATAGTGCATCCCCCCAACAAAATAATTTTAAACCTGGTATTCCTTCTCAAAATAATTTTAAACCTGGCATTTCTCCTCAAAATAATTTAGCATCAAATGTGCCTCCACAGAATAACTTTAAATACGGAATTCCCCCACAGAATAATTTAAAATACGGAATTCCCCCACAAAATCACGTTAAGTTTGGAATGCCCACACAAAATAACTTTAAATTCGGGATACCACCACACAACTTTCGCCCCCCCCAGAACAACTTTAAATTTGGAATGCCCCCGCAAAATAATTATCGGTTTGGAATTTCGCCTCAAAATAATAGTCGATTCGGTATACCTCAACAAAACTATAAATTTGGTTACCAGCCACAGCAGGGTCCTAGATTCGGTATACCACACCAAAAACAGAATCCACAACCAGGTAACACAGACGTTTCTATGCGAACCGCGCCGATAAGACAAAATATGATTAATGACTCTGAATATTATTACGAACCATACTATTACAACGACTATTGCGATTACGATAACTATGAATCAAGCGAAACAGCCATGTGTGAAAATTTTAATTTGTTAGAAAATCAAGAAAATTCTAAAGACAACGAGGAAATAGAATCACAGGAAGTAAATTTTCAGGAAGAAGCCTCGAATCATATTCCGAAATAATAAATCTTAACTATTGTGATAGCATTTTAAAGTTACCACACATATTAATTCCGGAACTAAACTCAAAATTTCTTATAGACACCGGTAGTAGTCGTTCGTTTATCAGTCCTTCTAAAGTAAATGAATTTTTTAATGAATATAAAAGCTATGAACCATTTACAGTCGTTAGCACTCATGCTCAAAGTACACATAACGAAGTAGTATACATCCCTTTGCCGTATATTTTTAATAGCCCTTTAATGCATAAATTTTATGTATATGATGTAGATGCTAGATATCATGGTTTAATTGGCTCAGATTTATTAAAGGAATTAGAAGCTAGCATAGATATGAAAAATCAAATACTGTATACAACTGGTTCTGCCATACCTATATTATATAGTCCTCCATACGAAGTTATAATTGAACCCAGAACAGAATCAAAAATTAAAATCCCTACTAACCTACAAAATGGAGATGCCATAGTAGAACAGGTCTATTTCAGTACTGGCGTTCGTATGCCAAATGCTATCGTTACATGTGAAAACTTCTTTGCAACCACCGTTATACAAAATGTATCCGAGAAACCATTTAAAATAACTTTTAAGGAACCTATTAAAGTCTCAGTTTTTAAAATAAGTGAAATTTGTAAAAGTAATTTTATAAATGATACTTTAACAATTGATAATATTTTAAAAGAAAATTTGTCCAAGCTTCGTTTAGATCATATGAATAGGGAGGAACGTGACGCAATCTCTAAACTATGTTACGAGTTTCGTGATATATTTTATTCTGATAAAATTCCTTTATCATTCACAAATCAGGTTAAACACAAAATTAGGACAGTTAACGAAGACCCCATTTATATTAGACCTTATAGACATCCTGCTTCTCAAAATCAAGAGATAGAAAAACAGGTGGATAAACTCTTAAAAGATAACGTCATACAAAATTCATTTTCCCCTTATAGTGCACCAGTTCATTTGGTACCGAAAAAGCTAGATGCGTCCGGCGAACCAAAATATAGAATGGTTATCGACTATAGACGTTTGAACGAAATCACAATAGATGACAAGTATCCTTTGCCTAACATATCGGAACTTTTTGATAAATTAGGTAAATCACAGTACTTTACCACAATTGATTTAGCAAGTGGTTACCATCAAATTGAAGTCCAAAAGGAAGATCAGCACAAAACAGCGTTTACTACACAATCAGGTCACTATGAATTCAAAAGAATGCCGTTTGGCTTAAAAACAGCACCGGCAACGTTCCAAAGAGCAATGGATAACGTTTTACGCGGCCTACAAGGATTACACTGCATGGTATACTTAGATGACATAATTGTATACTCAGCTAGTTTACAAGAACATATAGTAAAACTTAAGAAAATTTTTGAACGTTTACGTGAGACTAATTTAAAGGTTACACTAGACAAAAGCGAATTTCTCCGAAAAGAGGTTCTATACTTAGGACACACCATATCTAAAGAAGGCCTTATGCCAAACAATGATAAAATTAAAGCAGTTTTAGAATTCCCGATTCCACGTACATCAACTGAAATAAAGAGTTTCTTAGGCCTCGTTGGTTACTATCGAAAATTCATTAGAGATTTCTCTAAAATAACACAGCCATTGACATCTTGTTTAAAAAAAAAGAATAAAATTGACATCACCAAACCCGAATACATAGAAGCCTTTGAAAAGTGCAAGGAACTTTTAGTTAACGCGCCTATTTTACAATTTCCGGATTTCAGTAAACCATTTGTCCTTACAACAGACGCATCCAATGTCGCATTAGGTGCAGTACTTTCCCAAGGTCAAATTGGTAGCGACAAACCCATCGCTTTCGCAAGTCGTACGCTGAACGAAGCAGAGACACGCTACAGCACAATAGAAAGAGAGTTGTTGGCCATCGTCTGGGCGACAAAATATTTCCGGCCTTATTTATATGGACGTAAATTCACGATATACACCGATCACAGGCCGTTAACCTGGCTTAACTCAATAAAGGAACCGAATACCAAATTAACACGTTGGAAATTACGTTTAGCCGAATTTGACTATGATATTGTATTTAAAAATGGGAAGCAAAATTCAAACGCAGACGCATTATCCAGAATTAGGATCAACGCTTTGGGCAATGATGATATCTCGCTAAAGGTAAACGTGGACATAAATGAACGAAATCTTCAAGGTCACATTGACAATCTAACAGAAGAGATAACCCGCTTAGCTAGAAACCAACATCAAGAAAACCCTCCAACACCTATGGAAGTATCTCCAGCTTCTGAACGAACACTCAGTGTGGAATCATTAGGGTCTAGCACCATTACTGCATCTGAAATAATGAGCACAATCCATTCCGCGGAGGATATAGATACAGATGGTATATGTATTCTGCAAGAAGCTATAGACACAAAGCCAAATCAAGTACTTGTATTTCCCTGGAATAGGAAAGAAATATTAGTTAAAAATTTATCTAGGCCGAAACAAAAAATATTAGAGGTACACTTACCTGTGAATAATATAGACTTAATTAAAAACTTTTTAAAAGAATACACAAAACCTAATATAAAATATTTCTTTTACTTTGAAGATGAACAGCACCGTAAGGAATTTGCGGCGGTTACAATATCACTTTTTAAAAAAGGCACTGTTAAATTTTATGAATGCACAAAACGAGTCATTTACGTAGATAATGAAGAGGAACAGCGAGATATAATTATCAAATATCATGATGGGAAAAATAGTCACCGTGGTATTAAAGAGACTTTAATTCATTTAAAAAGAACCTATTTCTGGAACAACATGGAACAAACTGTTGCGAGTGTAGTTAACGCTTGTGAAACTTGTAAAAAGATGAAGTACGATAGGAGACCTCTAAAACCTGAATTGCAATTGACACAAACACAAGATAGACCGTTTCAGGAGTTATTTATCGATACATTTTCAATAGAAGGACAATATTACCTCACTATAGTAGATGGTTTTAGTAAATTAGGACAGGCATTTTTAATAAGTTCACGCTCAACTCCCGAAGTAGTTAGGGCTTTAATAAAATATTTTTCTTTATACGGCGTACCTGGACGAATTAGTGCGGATCCCGGAGCCGAGTTTAATAATGCATTATTAAGAGATCTTCTATCATTTTACAAAATAAATCTTCACATTAGTACTCCACATAACCCCAACTCAATGGGGATAGTCGAAAGATTTCATTCCACCATCATCGAAATATATAGAATAGCTAAATACGAACGGAAGATAACTGATGCGACGGATGTAATGACTTATGCGATTATGTCTTATAATCATTCAATCCATTCTACTACAGGCTTAACACCCTTTGAAGTCGTATTTGGCCATACCGAGTCTAATCATATATTTTCTGTAGATTTTAATAAAATGTATACACAACAATTAGTTAAGGAACATGCTCGAAAAACTAAATTCTTATATCAATATTTAACCGATAAAATCATACATCAAAAACAGCATTTAATCGAGAAACATGGCGGTGAAAAAGAGTTAGAAATAGACATAGGCGATACCGTGTTTATAAAGGGAGTTAACACGCGACGTAGTAAGGATAAGGCACGTTATCAAAAAGCCCGAGTATTGGGTCCGATTCATAGAAACGTTGTTCCAGTGATAACTCAGAAACGAAAAACTAAGGTACATACTAAAGATTTAAAACGCCCTTCACGGGTTGTTACTCCTGCTGGTACATCTGACCCCAAGCCAGGCCCTTCAACTGCAAAAGATTAATAGAAACCCAGGCCTCCTACCCATTAAAGAAGGTCAAGCAGTAGTAGCTTACGACAGATGGACCGTGATAAAGATTTTAGATTTTAAAGCTATCAATGACGAACTAGAACTAAATATAAATAACTTCTTAACACTTAAAACCGAAGTACAAAATTGTTTCGACACTAGCCTATTCAATTTGCACTTCCAAGAAGTACAGTCACAAACTAGTTTCATAATGAATATAACAGTGGAAAAATATAAACAATTAGTTCCGACTTCAAAATCTAAACGTGGTTTATTGAATCCTATTGGAACATTCATTAAAGCAATAACTGGCAATCTTGATAATGAAGATGCTATCAGATATGAAGATTTAATTAATAAATTAAAAACTAGACAGGACGCTATTAGTAATAAAATAACCATAGTTTCCGAAATGATGAGTACTGTAACAAAAATTATTAATGTAACAAGGAATAATTTCATTCAAATTAAAGAACGTTTTGAGGACATAGATCTCAGGTTAAACAATTCTAAAATGTTACAAATGAGTAATGAAATTATTCATTTTTATAATATTTTTACCCATAATTTTCAAACTATTTACTCAAGACTAAATGAAATTGAAACAGCTCTCGCTTTTGCTAGGATTAAAATATTACATCAATCTATTATTGATACTAAGGAATTAATGTCAATTTTAAAAGAAATAGAATCTATGTATAATTTAGTATTTCCAGTGAATATTGAAAATATTGTAAAAATTGAACTGAATATTGAGATGGAAGCGTATATCAAACAAAATCAGATAAAGTTTATTATGCACATACCCTTAATTAAAAATGAACTTTATAATTATTATAAATTAATACCTTTACCAGTGCATAGTAATAGTAATAATATATCTAACATTATCCTTCCTAAGTATCCCTATGTCCTAGTGAAAGGGTTGAAAGTCGAGCCGCTCTCACAACCATGCCAAGAAATAGATGAAAACCGATTTTTATGTCCTGAATTTGAAACTACACTGATATTGAAGGACGAATGTATTACTACACTAATGAATTTTTCCCCCAACACATCTTCATGTCGTCCTGTGCCCGTTCTAATCGAAGATGTCAAGATTTATTTAGTACAACAAAATCATTGGATAATATTTTCGAGAATAGAAACCATTATATCTAAAACGTGTGACAACGACGTTTCACATGAGCCATTAATGGGCACTTACCTGTTAACCCTAGATGATGATTGTTCGATAAGAATCAAGGATTTCAACTTGAAAAGAAACGAACACCAGGGAAACGATATCGCGTTTACCCGATTCCCAATTGTAAACCTACCGTTAATCTCCAGCGAAATTAAGTCACAGAACAAGCGTCTGAATTTAGATGGAATCGACCTTGCAGACGTTCAACTCTTAAACCTTTTGGTGAAAAATAGTGTTCCTACAAGTGTTAGTGAAAGTGAATTAAATCAATGGTTCTTTGGTATAATTAATATAGTAATAAGTTTTTTACTCATGACATGTGTCATTTTATTAGCATTTAAAAATAGAATTAAGAAAATTATGTTTCAACCTAAACAGAATATTCGAGATCATCCAAACCCTGAGGATAATCTCGATTCTAAGGAGAGAGGAGTTATACAGTCACAAGACATATTTCCTAATCTTTAAACGGAAACACCCACGCGTGTTCTCACGGAATATGCTGACGGACTGTCTAGCTCCCAGTCTCGATTATTAGATATTAAGTTAGTCTTAAGCTAATCACCAATGTAACCGGTTGATTAAATATTAATTAAAAATAAAATTTTATTCTTTTTAAAAACGCTCCAGCGCGACCTCGCGTTTTGACTACGTAATGAAAAACTTAACAAAAACTATAACTAAACAGCGTGAGCGCAGAAAAAACATTCGTGCTATCAGACCAGAGGTTAGAAGCCGAATGACAAACAAAATGGCGACCGACGCGCGCGGCGTCGATCGGTGTTGGCACTAGTCGCCTCGCCGCGCTCTGTATTACAGCCGTCAAAAAACTGATTGTAGTTATAGGTCTACCAGGATCTGATGGCAAAAAGGGAAAAAGAAATTGACGCTAGCAATACTGGGGAAATTGGAGTAAAACGTTTTGATACTTTTTTTTCCTTATAGCGGCTGATTCTGTGTGTGATATATGCAAAATATATAAAAATTTATCCAATGATAATTTTTGAAAATGTGGCGAATGTGGGGTTTGAAATTTAGATGAAAACTCCAATTACTCTGTTCATGAGTTTATTAATTAATTAAGAACTTTAAAATGGTTCCAAATACTGCACATCCATAAAAAGTCTTCAACGCAGTATTTATAATAAACCTTTCCTCCTGCATCTCAATTAACCGATCTTGTTCTATGAACTTATTTTAAATTTTTATTACATGTTCACAAGATTTTCGCTATTCATCGATCCCTATTTGAGAGAAAGAAACAATGTAAAACTCATTTATCTTGTTTCTGATCAATTCTAAATCAAAACTATCCAAGTTTATTTGTGGTATAAGAAACCCCTGAAATAAACCAAAATTTAGTATAAGTACATAATATAATACACACGAAGAATCCCATAAACCAAAGTATCAAGACGTGTCATTCCTACTAACCAGTCAACGCTTGCACATGGCTCAATATCGATGATTGTGTATGTTCTGCATCTTGTTGATCAAGTATTCTTTGATAAACATTGAAAACAATATGTCTTGCTTGCGATCGAAGAGGTTTCTTCGACATTTTCATCACTTTTTAAAGGAAATTTGAAGCCAAACCAAAAACAATTCCTCGAAATTTCAGTTGACAGATGAAATTTTTCTTTTATTGCCATATGAAAATCGCTAATTTAAAAAAAAAAAAATTGCCATCAGATTCTGGTAGACCTATACATACTACTAGTACCTAACTTATATCAGAAATCTTTTATACAATTTTAAAATAGTAATAATATTATTTTATAGTTTGAAATGATTAACTATTCACACTCACTCATTGTTCATTCATCTGATTGAACAAGAACTGAATGTATCACTATTACTTTAAATGTGGCAACATTATTTTACTAAGTGACATTAGCTACTGTCAGATAGCTTCGTCTAATTAAAAATTCGACTATAGTTCCTACTTCCTACTAATAACTAAAATTACAAATCCCAATTACCTTTTGCCCTAAAATCCATTATAAATATTGTAATACTTTGGCTTCACAAGTTATTCCTTATTGTATTTTCTAATTGAATCGTTCATAGTGTTACAACATCAGTTTATTTGTTAGTTGCGCAGTGTTGTGTTGATTGTGTGTATGTAGTCCTATATAACCCATAACCCTTAATATATTCTTAGGGGTATACTATTTGATAAGGTAATTATTAATTTGTAATACCTATGTATCGAAGTACGATAATTAAACTACTATATAAGTTCTAAAGTTGTTTGCATAACATAGGATGGCCGAAAAACAGTGTTGCATAGAAAATTGTACTTCCTCATCATCAAGAAATGAAGACGTTGGAGTAACATATCATAAGTTTCCCAAAGATCTAGATATTTACAATAGTTGGATTCGTATTACCCATACAAGACCTAACACTCACAATAATTTGTATGTGTGTTCAAGGCATTTTTGTAAAAGTGATTTTCAAGTGTATCAAGAATCAAAATATGTACTAAAGTCAGGTATCTGTTAATAGACATTTTGTAGAAGTGTAGTTTATGGATACTTGCTTGCTTAGGTTCTCTCTTTGTTCTGCTAATCTATCAGATATTATTGTATTGCATTGCGCATTCCACATTATCTTACACTTATACATATTATGATTATTTGCTAGAGAGTTATATGACATAGGTATAATTCATATATTAGTGAATTATTTTTATATTTAATTAGTTTTTGAAAGTAGCAAGTGATATTTGTTTGTTGCATCTTTTCTTTCATATTTGTTAATAAAGCATTTATCTATTGTGTGTAATTTCAGTAGATTTTTATATATTAACATATTTATAATGTTTTGATTAATGACAATCATGTTTTTCAGGAGCACTGCCATCAATATTTCCTTGGACAATGGCAGAAGACAATGACTTTCCCGAGGCTCAAATTGGCAGTTTATTTAAAGATGATAATGTTAATACATCCAATAGCATCAAAGAAGCAGACCCAGAGAATATAGAATCAATAAAGAAATTCATTGAAGGTCAACATCAAATGACAGAGAATGTTGACAAAATGAACACTTTAAGCGACTTAAACCTAAGTGTAACAGCTTTAGATGTAATACACAAGTCCCAAGAGACACCAATAATAGCTAATACTGTTATGAATATGATTATTAATAGTTCAAATGCCAAGGTAAATCAAAAAGAAGAAATTAAATATAACGTAAACCACTGTGATAAGGGTGAGATTATTTATATTCTAGAATACAATAAATTGATGTTAAACCTTTGTTAAAAAAATTGTTTCCACTGTGATGAAGAGACAACATTAGCTAGAATGGTGCAATTAGACTTTTTTTATAAATAAGGGGTTACTCCCTTGTTTATAAATTGTTTTTACTGGCACTTTTTTTAAATCAGTCTTTTTAAAACTCATACGTAATTAAAGAATGTACAAGATCTTTCAAGGATATAAACATACTTGCATTTGCATAATGCAGATTATTTTATATATTTTAATGTATATATAGTATGCTGGTTTTTTTGATATATTTAATGTTTAGTTTTACAGAGTTCTTAAAAAAAATATATTTATTTGTATCAATTTTTTATATGAAACATTTTTTGTCCTCAATAACTTATCAGGCACAGTGTCATTGAAAGTTGGCAGTAAAGTGGAAGCAAAAGACTTTGGTGGTCAGTGGCATGCTGCATCTATAGTTGAAGTTGATTATGATGAGGTGGAGGTCTTAGTTCATTATGAAAATTCTAGTAATATGTATGTATACTATTTGTACTATGTGACCACTTATTCAAAAATAAAATGGTAAC